TTGTAGCCTAAAGGCTTACAACCTGGAGGTAAATCTACCAACTCCCACGTGTGGTTCTGTAAGATGGAGTCAATCTCACTTTTGATCGCTTCTTTCCATAAAGGACTCTCAGGATAAGTCACAGCTTCGTGGAAAGTTTGTGGTTCGTTCTCAACCATATAAGTCAAGAAGTCTGGACCAAAAGATTTGGATGTCCTAGCCCTTTTACTCCGTTTGGGCTCATCTAAAACCTCAATTTGATCATCACTTGGATCATCAACATGATCATCCTCATTAGTAAGCTCATCAAATTGCTCCAAAGACCTTGGAACCCCTGCATGGGTTCGGCAAGGAAAAATGTCTTCAAAGAAACATGCATTCCTTGACTCCATGATGGTATTCCTGTGTATGTCTGGAATTTCAGACTTATGAACAAGAAACCGATATGCACTACTATTATGTGCATAACCAATTAATATACAATCCACAGATTTCGGGCCTATCCTAACTCGTTTGGGTGTAGGAATCGCCACTTTTGCAAGACACCCCCATATTCGTAAGAATTTATACGAAGACTTAACGCCTTTCCATAACTCGTACGACATCTTGTCCACTTCGCTTCAACACAAGTTTCACACTTGTGTTTCGTCAGAACAACCTTGTCGGACTCAAAAAACCATGCGAAAAACATGTTTACTGAGAAGAGACCTTGAGACAAGATTCTAACGAATGTCCGGAACATACAGGACTTCGTTCAAGGTTAGCTCTTTTCCTGAGGTTAACATCAGGACCACCTTTCCCTCAACAAATGAGGTAGTAGAGTTTCCCATAAACAACTTCTCACCGTTTGTAACCGGTTTGAAAGTTGTAAACAGCTCCTTCTCGGAACAGATGTGGCGTGTAGCCCTAGTAAAATTAAAAGCCTCGCTACCACAGTTGTAGCACTTCCCAAAGAACCGAGAACCAGGTTCCCGCGGCTTGTATGCCATTTTCTTTGCGACACCACCCCTTGGCCCCAGCTAAGAGCCCTTGTTCAAGGGGGGGCTTCTTCCTCATCCCAGAAAATTTGCCATGCTCAATGACATTGGCCTTCATTGAGGAGGTACTCCCTCCTTTCTTTCTATTATCCTCCTCATTACGGAGTTGGATAATCAGGTCTTCTTTGTAGAATTTATACAAAGTTTTAAACAAATCCTTGTGTCACAATGATTATGAAACTCTCAAAATCATATCACAGTAAATACATTCCCAGAATGTCATCAACCGAATTAGGCACCTAAATATATTTGGTCCAACCTATCACTCTGAAGCCAATAGTCTTACTATTAGGAAACACAAATCCAGTGTTTAATAGTCTACTATTCGAAACTTCATAACATGGCCAGTAGTCTTATCACTAGGAATCACTAATTTCTCAGCATGTGGTCAGTAGACTTTCTACTAGTAGGAATCACAATGTCTTAACCTGTGATCAGTAGTCACTTTACTACTAGGAATCACAACGTCCTGACATAGGGTCATAGACTCTTTCATTACTAGGAATCATCATGTCTTGACATATGACCAGTAGCCTCTCCACTACTAGGAATCATGATGTCTTGACATGTGATCAGTAATCTGTTCACAACTAGGAACCACAATCTCATAACTGTGTAGCCAGTGTTTTAACACCTCCTAGGAACCACCAGTTTTCTATCTCTGTGATCAGTGATCTTGTACTCACTAGGAACCACCAATTTAAGAATATATTTGGAATTTAAAAAACCAAAAAATATTCACCCACTATAACAGGTTGTCTCATCTTTGCTTTCAAGCAAAGTCACATAGCAATCATAAGTATACCAAACTAATTGCTTCTGATCAAATCAGAGAAATTTTTAATGCAATCTTATGATTTCCTTCAATCATACTTGATCTCTCAAGATCTTTCTTTAAGAATCTCGCGAGGCTAAGGTTGTCAGGTGGAACAACATTTTTGTTTGTCACCTTTTGAAGCCATTTTTGAAACATCACAACAGAATTTCACTTCTGTGATTCCAGAAAATAAACTTAACCCTTAGAAAATCCCTTAGATAAAAATTTAATTCAAAACTAGTTTCACCAATTAACCTAGAATCGAACATGGTCAGGAATGTTCCCAGGAAGATTGGAGGGGTCATATCGGTCCCACTTAAAACCCAGTTAACCTTTTGACAAAACATTCAAGAGCATGTTGACTCCTAGTCCATAGGAAACAATTTAAAAATTAAGATTTCCAGAAGATAAACCAGGTTATAACAAACCGATTCCCAAGCAAATAAAATTTGCTACCAGAATTACACCACTCATAAAAGTTAACCGGTACTCCCGGAACTAAGCCCATTATTTCTGAATAAAATCAAAAATATTTTAGCTAATGCTAAAATTTGGTTTCCTTTCTCAAAACCAAAAACACTTTGGACATAATCAGATTATTACCAAAGACTTTCTCCAAACTTGGTTTTCTAACACTTTGGGAATAAAATGATTAAACCCAAAGACTTCCTCAAACTCCAAAGGTTTGAAACCAAATCCATCTTAGTTGTCATTTCTGAACAAATAAGAGCTACTCTTTAGCCAAAGCTAAAACTTTGGTTTCTATCACAGAAAACCAAACCAAGTTCCAAACTTACAAACAATTTAAAAAATTGCTATAACAATTACACGCATATAAAATGCTTCTAACAAAACAAGCAAATAAAACCTGCCACCACAAATTGATAAACAAATCAACTACATCTCAAGCAAAAAACATGCTTCAAACATTTAAATAAAATAGCCAATCCATAAGGATTCTATTTAGTCCAAAAGCCTTTCCACGCTTAGGTATTCCTATTCAACACAAAAGTTAGTAGTCCAAACATTTTTGTTTTTACATCCCAAATACTATTCATTTGGTTTTATATTTGTTTTTCGCATTGGTATCCCTACAAAGAAAGTTAGTAGCAAACCACAACAAAATATAAACAAATAAACTAAAAAAAAAATTTAATTATAATAAATAATTGAAACCATCTAGCCAACTATTAATTACATAAGTAACCAACTAATAGAAGGTACCAAAACAAAATAAAATTTGTAACTTCAAAATTAAATTACAACTTTAAAATAAAGTTCAATACTCATGAGTCATGAATGAAATTAATTCATAATAAACATTTAAACTAATAACTCCAAATAGATAAGTCAAATTCAAAGTTAATGCACCCAATTAAATAATTCAGATTAATGCACCTAATTAAATAATTCAGATTAATGCACCCAAATAAATAATTTAGATTAATGCACCTAATTAAAAAACTCAGATTAATGCACCCAATTAGATAATTTAGATTAATCATGTACACAATTCATAAAACTCTATAACTCCAAATACATTAAATTATGTAATCTAGCCTAGAAAATAATAAGCATGTAACAAATTGAGACTAGAATAGAATTAGCATGTCAAAATTGCAATATCCATAAATTACATTTTATAACCTTAAAATTCATGCAAATCATGGTAGGGAGATGATGAACCATACGCATAAAACAAGATCATACTAATACAATTAAGTATGCAAATTATAATAGAGCATTCTAATTAAACTAAGCAATTAGAGAATAACATTGCATGATTTACAATCATTGAAATAGTGAGTAATTCTGCAATATTTCCTAGTAACATTATACAAAACTAACCTAATAGTGTATATAAATCTATTCGATTAATTTCATAGAAAATATATATAAAATCTGTTTTAAGCTTGTTGTTCAAAATTGTGAAATTAAATAAATAGATTTATGAAGAAATCAAATTATATACCAAGAACATATGCTGATAATTACAATTAAATTTCAACAGAAATACACAAAACAATAAAAGGGTAAAGAGACGAAACCGAAGCCTGCACGGAAGCAGTTTCCTTAAAACAGATTTCGCCGCCTTACGGGTCGAGTGCTTGAGGAAACCCGGCGTCTGTCTCCCAGGATACGACGGTCAAAACCAGCTACGACAGAAGCACTATCTGTCTAGCTTAGTGAACAAAACAATGGCAGCACTCTCTCACAATAGGAACTATCTGGCAAACTGACTTGTAAAATGGAAGCAAAAAATTCTATATTGAAACTTGACAGGAGGGTCTCAGTTTATACATGTATAGGGGAGAGAGGAAGAGCCTCCAGCCTTTAAGGCTAGTTATTAAAACACCAAGCATCCATAGCCCCTTTCCACAAAATGAAAAGTATGGATGCCCAAAGGATTCATCCCCTTTAACCAAGAAAAAAGATTTAAATACTCTTTAAAATCCTATTCATGAATCTAACATCATGAAGCAATTTCTTGGCAATTTCTTATTCAAAACCCAATGGTTTTTGGCTCACTTGGACCCAACACAAAAAATGGTTAGAACCCACTTTAATATTTAATTAAAGTCACCACACTTTAATATTAAATTAAAGTCCCCAAAAATCATTTTTTCCAACAACTTTTTCTCTCCTGTTAATTTTAGATCTGAGAACTCAACAATATCTTTGCTTCAGCTATCTTCGCTAGAGATGAATGCTCAAGGAAAATTGTTTTCTTGTTCTTCTACCTTTCTGTTTTTATTTTTTTATTTTTAATGTGGAAACAAGAAAATTTCTTCCCATTCAGGTTCATCGAGAAATTGCTACAAGACATTCCTGGAAAGGGGGTCAGAGAACAATTAGAGGCGCTCTGTAACATCTATGCACTCTTCCTTCTTAACAAGCATCAAGGTGATTTTCTCTCCACTGGCTGCATCACTGCCAAGCAGGCTTCACTTGCAAATGATCAGCTCCGATCTTTGTATTCTCAGGTTTGTCCCAATAATTCAACTTTAACTACTACCCTTTTTAACGCAGCTTGATTTGAAACTGCCAGTTTGCTTACTAGCTTCAAATTCATGTTTTGTCTTTAGCTTCGTCCAAATGCAATTGCTCTTGTTGATGCATTTAACTACACTGACCACTTCTTTGGCTCGATACTTGGCTGCTATGACGGAAATGTATATCCGAAACTCTACGAGGCAGCATGGAAAGATCCTCTGAATGATTCAGTTGTGCCTGAGGGCTACCATGAATACATCCGCCCATTACTGAAGCAAAATCTCTGTACTGCCAGACTCTGAAAGAACTTTGTCCGACTGATACATCTGAAATTTCACTCTCATGTATTGCTAATAAAGGTACCTGTCCGACTGATACGTCTGAAATTTTGCTCTCATGTATTGCAGTTGTATTGTTGATCTGCAGCTATTGTGATGCCCTGGTGAGAGGGTGCTTGGGTTAAAGGAGTTTTTATCTGAGTCTGAGCATGGTGGATTAGGATAGCATGGTGGTTTGGAGTATAGTTTGTGCCCTGCTATGTTGCAGTGTTTAGTCTACTGCTTTTGGGTAATCTAAGGAAGCTGTGCTATTCATCTGTTAGTTTTGTAAAATTGGCTGAGTTTTCTTCATAAGGGAGATGTGTTCACTGGATGGCTTGCTGCTGATCCTGGGCAGTGGGAGTATGTTGGTACTTGTTAGGAATCCAGAGGGCAGCAAAGTATTTGACAGAACATTGTAGAGAAATAAAGGGGTGTGGACTGAGAATATTGGCTTGTGAAGAGCCCATTTATTATGGAACAACAAGCTTGGTGAGAGATAGAGCAAGACTGGTCTGGGGGGATAACAAGCAAGCCAGAAGTGCATGCCCAGACAATGAAGATAATTTTGATTTTGGAGCTTATAAATGGTCTGTTGAACTTGTTGCCAATGAAAGCTGTTTGGAGAAGATTCTCTTTCCTATCTTTTGGGGCCTCATGACTCATAAGTACTTTTGGCATCTTGGAGAGCACAACTGATTGGTTAGAAGCTGTCTTCATTATCATAGTTTTGGTGTTTTAGTGCTGCTGATGTTTTGTTCCATTTGTTCCACTTGCACTGTTGCAATGCTGCAGTTTGGTTTGTTCTGTTTTTTTTCTTTCTCTTGTTGGTTCTTTTGATTGGTTTCTCACTAATTTCGGGTCAAGTGTTAACATATGATTGTGCTTCCTTTGTGGTGCCAACCTAGTTGGGATTGTTGAGATTTGCTTTGATGCTCGGTGCACTTCCTTACTTTATTAATGTATTTTGCATGTATATTGCTTTTTTCATCAATAAAGTTTTTTTGCCGATCAAAAAAAATAAAAATAAATAAAGGTACCTGTTTGTTGCCCTTCATATAGGGAAGGTTTAAGGTAGATTAATGGGATTTTTTTCATGTTGGTTGATAGAACAATGCTATTTATCATTATGGTGAAATTGGCTCAAAGAATTGTTCAATAAGGATTATATATCCCTTTATGGCTCGTGTTTGGATCTTGAATGTGAATATTTCTCTCTTTTCTTCGACAATTTAAAAATCTCTTTTATATTGGGGAAAGATTTTGGAGATGGGTCCGCCATGCCTGCTGATAGGGTTTTGGATGCACTAATCATCTCCATTATTATGCTTATTAATTAAGAGGTTAATTTTGCTCATGCTCTGTAACAATGTTATTGTTCATTTTTATTCAGGCGTGCATGTAATTAAGTTTATTGTATCTCACATCATTATAAACTGATTAGTTACCTACAATCTTCACATGAAACGTGGTTCGAAATCATGTGAGAACGGGACTAATCCTTGAACATCCCGAAGAATGTGAACTCTTCAACAAAATAGTGAAGAACATGGGTTTGGATCCCAAATTGGTGAAAAGGGTCATTGCGTTGTGGCTCGTTCTTGAAGACTACGGTTACAAAAGTTGTTCTTCGTCAAGACAATCGAACCATGGGTTGATCAAGATTTTGCTCCAAAACCCACATGCTACCTCTGTTTTTAGTTCTATCTTCAATTTCCAATCCAGTAACCATGCACAGCTAGCAACTGATTCCACCCTTTTTACCACTCTCTCTCTCTCTCTCATCAAACGATTGTGGGATCTTAGGGTTTTGGGGAAGAAGGAAAGGGATTATAGGGTCTTAGGCTTTTGGGAAAGAAGGAACGGGTTTTGGTAGTGCTTTTCTCCTTTGCTTTCTCACTCCGATGTGCCCAGTCACTCCGGCGAACCAATTTGATTAGAGAGCTCTGATATGGATTTAAGGAAAAAGGCGATTGAGAGGTGTGGAAGATGTTGTGTTAGCGTAGGGGTGGTGTGGACAGAGGTCGGCGAAAGGGCGGAGGTCAGTGATGGGGGCATCCGGAGGTCGGTGATCGTTCATCCTGGAAGAGAGAGAGAGAGTTGATAGAAAAAAAAAAAATTTAGAAATAAAATAATTATAATAATTATGGATAAATAAAAAAGTGACACGTGTATCAAATAAATGTAAAAAGTTAACAAAAACAAACAGAAACAAACGGAGGGTTAACATTGAGACACTGTTAAAAATTCAGGGTTAAAATTGTTAAAATTAAAATATTGGGATTTAATGTGAAAAAGACATCAAACCATGTGAAATTTTTTTTTTTGGTCGTAATTTTCCTTTTTAATTATTAATGTGTATAAAGTTTATTATTTATTTGCAATTTGTTTTTAAACATTACACAGAATTAAAACTCCCCTTCATTATATTGGACTTTATATATACATCATTTCTGAAAAAATTATTTTGATTTAATAATTGTTGTTAATGCTGTTCGTCCCAGTAAATGGATCTGACAAGTCCAAGCTCCTCCAGCCCGTGTCCAAATGATCAAGCCCACCAGAAAACCTGCAGGCAAGTTCAACAGGGAACGGGGTAGTCCCCCAATGAACTCTCCAACGAGCAAGTTAGGAAGAGAAGTCGAGTATATGGGAGAAGTTAGAGATAGAAAACTTAACATTTTTCTTGTCTACAACATTTGCTTATATCCTTTTGTCATCATTTCGCTGTCCCTTCCGACCTGCTCTCCTTGCCAAAAGCCTATGCTGTAGCTTACCTTGCTCAGGATAAGGGGGTCCTGTTCCGACTGAGAGGTGTTGTCGTAATAAATGCTGTGACGGACTGCATTAATGGTGATGTGCGGTGGCAATAACTTTGCAGATCTTTGTCTGCTGATGTGGCTCGTCCTCCACCTGGCGTGTGCCTCAATGCTGTTGGTTCTTGGTGCCATATTGGATTCCAGCTGTTCCGGACTCCATCGGCAGGGTTATGCATTGGGCCCCGAATGATGGGCTCGGGTTATTTGTAGTGGTTCATGGCCTTTGTGGGCCTGTCTATGTCAGTAGTCCCCCATTCCCGAGTGCAACTTTAGACCAGCGAAGGGAATATGTATGAGGAAGATGAGTCCGACCGGGATGGGCGGCCGAGTTGGTGAGGCGAGCATAGGATTGTCTGACCGTGGGGAGGGTTGATCGCGCGAAAGCCGAGCGGAGGACCGACCGGCCGAGCTAAAGGGCCGATCGTGAAGAGGGGCGATCGCGTGAGAAGGCCGACCGTTGAGGGTAGGCCGACCGTGAGGACAGGATGATCGCGCGAGAAGGCCGACCGTTGAGGGCAGGCCGATCCAAGGGGCCGACCGTGAGGACAGGATGATCGCGCGAGAAGGCCGACCGTTGAGGGCAGGTCGATCCAAGGGGCCGACCGTAAGGACAGGCCGACCGTGGAGGATAGGCCGACCCAAGGGGCCGACCGTGAGGACAGGCCGACCGTTGAGGATAGGCCGACCCCAGGGGCCGACCGTGAGGACAGGCCGACCGTTGAGGATAGGCCGACCCAAGGAGCCGACCGTTGAGGGCAGATCGCGCGAAAGCCGAGTGGATTGGCGCGGGGCTCAAGGGGCGGCGTGGCAAGTGATGACTGGAAGTAGAAAAGACAGGGTAAGGAGAATGGACAGTGCATCGTGGCCGTACACGTGGCCATATCCCGTAGGGGGGAAGATTAGGCGTTGGATCAGAAACGAAACGTTAGGTCATTGTGGGTGTTGAAGAGACGGTTTTGGCGGATGATTTCGAAAAGTTTTCAAACTGGCAAAAATTAATTGGGACCCTTGGAATACGGGCAAACCGTGGGCTTTTGGCATTATTCGATTCACCTACTTGTGCACGAAAAATCAAAATATTCCAAGTGTGAATTCCTTTGTTGCTCACAATACACCTCTGCAACATTTTTTCAATTTCCGTGTTCCTGCCGCCGAAGCGATTCGCAAACATACCATAGAAATGGCCGAAGAAGGGAGTGCGATTGTCAGGGTGGACCCGCTTGGAGATGATGATGCTGTGGAGCTAGCGGTGCAGTATAGGATAGAGAGAGTGGGGGAGCCGGTGGTACGATGCCACGGTTCCACCATGATAGCAGCTCCAAAGCCAATCAGCCAGGCGGAACCAGATCATTGGCACACGAAGGCTGACAAATCCACGATTACTGAGGCGGAGTTGGAGGCTATCCGCGAAAAATACCAGATCCCTGGGGAAGTGGAGTTGTTGCTACTGACATCAACGGAAAGGCCGTCTGACGCCAGGCCAGGGGAGTTTTCCCTTTATGAGGAAGCTCTGAAGGGTGGATTGAGGTTGCCACTGCCGCAAGTGGTGGTGGATGTGCTTAACCGTCTAGAGGTAGTATCGGGGCAACTAATGCCTAACGCATGGAAGATCCTGCTGGCCTGTGCCAGTGCGTGGCGGAAGGCAAATGGAGGGGAGGCCATGACGGTAGACGAACTCTTTGCGTGTTATAAGGCGTCGGGGCAGCAGGAGACGTGGGTCACTCTGTAGGCTGCAGTGGGGAAGGGGTTGGTGGCGGGTTTACCGTCGTCAATCAAGGGGTGGCGGCCTCGATGGTTCTACGTGTCTGCCAATGGGGGGCTTGGAGCGCGCACCGTGTGGAAAGTGCCCATCAGGTCTGTGGAGCTGAAATTGGGGACAGCTGCGGAGGGGAGGGTGAGGAGGGTGAAGGAGTGGAGGGAGAGAGAAAAGGCCAAATGGGACGAGCTCGTTCTGTCGTTGGCATTGTTTGAGGTGGGGTTGGGGCCAAAGCCAAGTAGTGGGGGCCTCGACCGAGCGGAGTTGGAGGCGAGGAGAAGGGTTCAGGAGGCGGAGGATCAGGCCATTCTTGCCAAAGCCTAACAATTCAAAGAGTCCCAGGCCGACCGGCCACCAAAACTGGTTACAAGGGAGCGGATTCAACCTCGCCCCAAACCCTTGGGAGAGAAAAACTTGGGCGAGTTTGTGCCGCGGCCGCCCCCAACAGACCCTTTGAAGGAGAGGTCTTTGAAGGAGATGGAGGCATTGGGCGTAGGAAAGAAGAAGAAGAGAGTGAGTCGGAGTGAGGAAGTGTCTGCCCAGAAGAGGAGGAGGGAGATGAGTGTGAAAGAAACCAGTGCGGCCGTGGGGTCTGAAGGGGGAGAAGTGGAGGGGGTCCCAAGAAGGGTAGGTGGCCCAGAAGTGGCGGATGTTGCCTCTGAGGTCATGGAGGTGGTGCCAGTGGTGGTGGCGATTGCCACAGGGGTCGCAAAGGCCGTCCCCGAAAGGCAAATGGAGGATGAGGCTGTTGGCCCTGGGCCAAGGAGGGAGGGACAGCCCCAGGGGGGTCTTGTACCTCAAGAAGGAGGAGTCGGTGCGACCACTACGATCTACCATGCTCGTGCGGTGGCGGGGCGGCTGGAGGGAGAAGAAGGCCCAACCAGAGCAGGGGCAGACCGCCTTGTAGGGATTGTAGAAGAGGCAGCCCTGCGCTCGGCCTCCAAATTCAACGAGGCTGAACTGCTAAGGGGGTTATACTCCGCTCAAATGGAGGTAACCACCTTAGCAGGGGCCCTGCTGAGGAAGGCAGTGGCTGGCAAACTCAAGGCAGACGAGGCCAAGGCCCAACTTGCAAAGTTAAAGAAGAAGAGTGCAAGTTGGGAGAGTGCCTACACTGAGCTGCAGACGGTTAAGGCGGAGCTGGAGGACACACGCCGCTAGGTTGTGTCGCTCGAGTTCTAACTTGCTGGCGAGCAGAAGAAGTCGGACGAGGCCCAAAGAGCCTGCGCCGTCGTGATCGAGCGACATGAAGAGGCTATAAGCAATAATGAGGAGCTGGTCAGGCAAAAGGACGAGGCGGATAGCAAAGTGAGCGATCTCCAGAGGGAACTGGAGAGCGAGTGCGCCAAGGCAGGGGAGGAAAAAGGGAGGCTCCAGAGGGAGTTGGAAGTAGAGAGAGTGCAGGTGGCGGCGGAGAAGGAGAGCCTGAAGAAGGAGTTGGAGGTGGAAAAGGCGAAGGCGGCGTCGGAAAGAGCGGCCCTGCAGAAAGAGCTGGACGAAGAGAGGGCAAAGGCAGCTTCTGAAAGGGTGGCTTATCCCGATCTGTGCGTCGCAACAGTGGAGCAATTCAAAGGGTCTGTCGAATTTCAGACGGC